TTGAATCTATGCCACAAAGAATTGAGGCAGTTCTGAAGGCAAAAGGGGGTCCAACCCGTTACTAGCATGGGGTACCTAATAAAGTGGCTGGTGATTGTATATATATGTTTGATAGCTGTCCTCCAAATAATTTTCATATGCATGTGTCCAAATAGGTACAACAAAAATAACACCAACATAGATGCTGTGGTAGGGTGTTCTTGTCATGTGAGTCCAGTTGATAAAAGCATGTGGCGAAATGTCCGTCTGTCCTCGACACAGAAGGCCATAGAGGCATAAATATGTCACCTGAAGTCAAGGACTGCTCCCAAAGACCTTCTCCTTTGGCCATGCAGCTTGTCTGTATTTCAGAGTTCATTTATGATCCAATGAGGAAATGAAGAACGTTTTATTCGCTGCAGCAACTTAAAGAGCCGCATTATAGGAATGCAGGAAACAACCACATCTGGGAAGACTAACAGGATAAGAGTGTTTAGTATGCTTTCGCATTCCCCTCTGCCTATTATCTGTGTTTGCCTTAACAAAGCCATCGAGAGTGATTGAAGACACTATTAAAGTGAAGGTTAGAGAGGGTGTTTTACAGCCTGCCTGTGTACTTCTGGTAACTATAGAAGCAGAAAAGGTGCTTCAGGTCCACAGTTCTCAGAAGTCCTTGAGCTGAGCACGTGCATTTTCATCTGCTCTGCAGCTCACCTTCTCCTTTTATATGTCTATGTAAACACACCAGTGGTGAGAAGATATCCTGTGTTCCTGGGCAGAGCCCATCGTTCCGCTCAGAGACAGGAGCTGCACATCCAAACGGTCCTCCAAGTCAACCGCACGCTGTACATCGGAGCCAGGTAACCAACAGCAACAGCCTCCGACTGTGACGCGTTTGCTTTAAAATGAGTTTGCTTCCATTCCATCTGCTGTCACTCTTCAGTGGGACGTTATCATTTTATTCCAGAATCCAGTGATAATTTATTCACTGCTGTTTTTAAATGTCAAGTGAAAGCTGTGAATCTATTTATCGTTTATAATAAACCGCTTTGCACCGCTAGAAGATTAGAAATAATCAACAAGCAGAATCAGTTCTATTTGAACCCCCCCCCAAAAAAAGATATATATATATATATTCATTTTTAATAATTAACAATTGATAAATTAATAATTGTTCCTCCAAATACATCTTAAGAGAACTGTGTATCATGGTACCCATTTTTACATTTGTAAATGGTGATTTTGACAACAGGAAGTTTGTCCTTCCATGAGGAACTTTTTTTCTGCAGACTGAGTACAAAGGGAGATGAGGCCTAGAAAACAGTTCTGATGCTCATGATAGAATTAGACTTTAATACCAACTAGTTCATGGTTTCTGTTAATATATTATGAACATGGAGTAAAGCTTTCTTTTGTTCATCAGCAGCATTCAAAAGTGTATATAATAAAGAATCTGTGGTTTACAGGGTCTATGTTTTTATGACTACGTCAAATCACTCCCAACTTGCTAAAAACATGTAATCATTGCTAATTTCAAATGCATTATTGGCTTTTGCGTGCACCTTTGTGGAAGCTGTATTTTAGGATTTGAGGCCCAGAGTCAAAACAAAAGCATCCAAACAACAATATTACAGCCAAATGATGTGGAAATAGAATAGAAAAATGGCTCTGTGATAGAAATGTGGGTACTACTCTATGGTTCTAACTGCCTATACATGCTTGATACAGAATATCTATCAGCCTGTTATGTAAAACTCAAGCCCTCTTTGCAGCCATCCGGCTTTGAGCAAATCTTTATCAGATCCACGTACCCATTCTGAAATGTTGAAATGTGGATCAACAAGCCTCGAATAGAATATTCAAGACATGCTGCCGCCGCATGTGATTTTATGCAAATGTACAAGTTAGAGAAAGGTTTTATTATCTTTTTGATATTAGTTTTACCTGTGAGTCATTCACGTTTCCTTGCAGCTTGGAATGGCTTCACTCATCTAACAGAAAGTAATTCTGCTGGAAAAACCACATTAGCATGTAATGGCTATACATCAAATTTCAAAATCAAAAGTGATCTGCTGCTACAGAGCCTAGAGAAAGTATTTGTGTGGGAAAAAAATTAATTTAATTTCTGTTACAGTTACACATTTTTCATAACAATAGGAATGAGATTCCCTGTGTTTTATATCTTAACTGCTACAAAATGATCAAACCACATTTTTTTTAGTGTCTGAATTAACTACTCTCATGTCACAGTGTAGAGCTGTCTCTCCTGCTGAATAAAGAATTTATTTATCTTCTGCAGAAATGGAGTTGCAAGAAAATAGGAGTTCCAAATCTTGCAAAAGCTTGCAAAACCTACCTGCGCTGTACATTCGAGACAAAACAGATGCAAGCTATTGAAACCTAACACTGCACAAACTCTTTAGGAATAAGTAAACCTTTCTTAAATTAAGTGTATTTTACTTTAATTTGAGTAAGTAAATTAGATTTTTTTTGCTAATGGATTGAGCATTTTTACTCTTAAAATATTAAGATAATATGGACTTGAAATAAGAAAAAAGTTTTTTTTCTTATTTTAAATGTAAATTGCCTTGTTCTATTGGCAAAGGATCTCACTTACCTCCTCAAAGCAAGAACAAAGGCACTTATTTTAAGAGAAAATAACCTATTTAGATGTCATTTTTTTGCAGTGTGAGTCTTGTACACTTGATTATTAAAGCATTTTTAAGTAACCATTAATTGTGGAATACATCCTAGATGTCAACCGATATAGTTGGTTTAATTAATGTTCATTTTACTCTAAAATAACAGGACAGGGCTCAAATGATTGTTTGAGGTTCCTGAAAAACCAGTAAAAGGTTGGATATTTGCAAGCTTATAAATGCCTACAAACCTTTTGCCACCAACGAGGTCCAGACTTTCTTCCAGAGCTGATATTAAACTCTACATCTCAGCTCACAAGTGGAAAATATTACAGCATTGTTTCTGTCTTGTTAAAGACAAGAATCAAATGCAGAAAATTCTGAAATGTGTGTTAAAATTAGGTTCCTGTACTAGAAAATATGTTAAAAAGTTATTAGCTGTTGTTAAAAGTCATAATGAAGCCAAAACAAACCCAGTAATACATATCCATTTAAAGCAAAGCTTTCAGCACATTTAGTCTGAATATTGTCAGTGGGTGACTCATGGTAAAAACAGAGGCAGATGGCTGTCTGGCATAAATGATATTTTGATATATTTTTTTTAAAGTCAACAACAGCATTTTCATTAAAGCGTAAATGAAAGAGAGCTACTGCTAAAACAACCGAAAATACAGTGACACTTACTCCCCAGTCACCTCATTAGGAAAATCAACGTAATTGCTTTTTAAAGCAAATACTAATGAGACAATCATGTGGCAGAAACATGCCTACACATAAATCTTCCATTATGTTTTCTCGGTCTTACTGACGTAATGTTTAATTTACTGAAAAATAGAATTTTCAAACCATAACCCTTCAATTATCATAGCAAAGAAAAAATATTTAACGTGAAGTTTTTTTTATACCACTTCTTGTTCATAATGAATAAGATGTTCAGTATTGTTTAGACATGTTATCACAATTCTATGAAAACGAATCTGCCTCCTGTTACAAGCTTTTTTTTGTACTTTCTACAAATACATGTTTCAGAACTTCAGACAAAAAGAAAGACCAAGAAATAACCTGAGTAAATACAAAAAACAGTTTTTAAATAAAGTTATCCTTTATTGAGGGGATATAGGTAGTTAAACCAAGTGCAATAAATGTCTGGCATGTTGTTACCTCATAAAATAAATTTGATTCCCTGGATTTCCTGGATTTCCTTGAGTACCTGGGCTATATGAGGGCATAGCTTTGATCTCAACTTTGGTAGGGACACTATTGGTCTTAAGTTTAATTGGTCTGATGTCATTGGTCCTACACAGTATGCATGCGCCTATTTTCTTTTTATGCTTGAATTGAGCATCAGGGCCCATTTTGTTTAAAAACAGCAGTTCTTTCTACATTCCTACAAATTTTATAAGCGTTACACACATTAGATGCCGTTTATCAATGTCTGTGCATCACCAGCTCGGACAAATGTGGAATTGAGACTTTTTTACACTTTGAAAAGGTTTGCATTTGAACACACCAGTAACTAAGACAAAAGGTAAATACGTGCCTATTTAACTAAATATAGTCTAAATATGCCTGTTGTATGTGTCACAGTGGGGGTGGAGGTTTGACAGGACCCAAATGCAGACACAACAGCTTAAGGTTGTTACTCGAAGGATTTAATTAAGCAAAAGTTCAAGAGATGCAAAAATAAAAAAATAAATCCACAAAAGCTGAAAACCAGGAATACACACAACAAGAAGGGGAAAAAGTAATGGGACAAACCAGCAATGAGTGACTGAGCAGGAGGAGAATAAATGGGAGAGAGAAACAAAGACCAGGCTAATTAGCAGATTGGGAGCAGGTGTGAACAGAGGCAAGCTAGGTAAAGGAGACTGACACAAGAGGGCAAACAAGAGATATAAGAACTAAAATATAATCAAAAATAACTAGAACACAAAAATTGGAAATAAGACCAATGAAAACTCAGATAAAACTTGAACAAAACCAAAACCATGACAGTATGTGGATTTATCCTGTATTTTCATTTGAAGATATAGAATTGTGCAGAGGTAAACAGAAGTAAAACCCACTCTTATTTTCTTAATCTACTTAGCTCTCTCTGTATCATGCAAAATAATACATTCAAGGAACTGCAAATATGTTTATTGTATTTACATGTACGCAAGAAGCAAAACATTAGAATGAATGTGAACCTAACTTGATTTCCACACATTGAAGCTGGACTGTAAATACTGTATCCCATTTCATCTAAACATTACAAGTTGTTATTCTCTATAAAAAGACATAACACCTGGGATTTATACCTGAACTGTCTCAAAGGATCTTCAAAAAATTTAAACTGTAATTGCAAAGAAAGATTGGTAAAAGAAAAACCCTCACATTTTCTTTTTCACTTGGCTGTGGCTAAGAATCAGAATTTTTGATAGCTTACAGTCTTTGCTTGTCCATTTTCCCAGCAGTCTGCAGAACTCCTGTCCAAATCAGAATATTTAGTTGTATAAAATGTTTTTGTTGATTAAATGTATGAAACTTCAGAATTCAATTTTATTTTGAGGTGCTAACGTTGGTTATTTACATTTCTCAAGTTCAACAAGTCAAAACACACTCTCTTGCTTCTTTGCAGAACTACAATAAGCAGTTTTCACCTTTTTAGTGTAGATAATATTTAGATTTTTCATTTGGACTAGTTTCGTAGCATAACATTAATTGTAGTAACAGCAGTATTCTTGCGTGAATAAAATCTAAACTTCCTGCTCTAAGCACGCGCGCACACCTACAGACTAGAAAATAGCCAATCAGGAAGAGAGAAGGCGGAACTTAAGGCAGAAAAACCAATGTGACTGGAGCTAAACAGCACTGTTACATGCACTGCTATAGTAAAGGGGACATGAAAGACAAGACTGGCACTCAGACGGAGCGGCAGCAGCAGCTACAAAGTAAATGTTGCAGTGTTAAAGTAACACTTTGAGTGTTAAAGTAACACTTTGAGCGTACATTTGGTCCCATACTAAGTCAGAGTGGGACCAAATGTACTCTTGAGTGTTACTTTAACACTGCAACATTTACTGTGTACCCGGCAGCAGAGCTGCAAGAGCAAAAGAAGCGACTGCTGCAACAATGCTGTATTGTAAATTATAAAAATGTTATTCACATCAAACTATTGGTAGGGATAAGTTGGTCGGTCCAAAATGTTGGTAGGTCCCTGTGGTCCCTATGCAAACCTACGCCCATGGCCATATCACAGTCTGACTTGTACAATTAGATTTGAATAATTAAGCAAAACACTGTGAGGACCATTATCTACAAATGGAAATAACATGGTGAATTATTCCTGGAATTGTCACCACTCTAACATGAACTATAGAGTGCTTCAACAACTCACCCAGGAAGTTCTAAAAAGAATCCAGAGAAACATCCCAAGCACTGCAGAACTCGTTGACTTTTGGTTAAGTTTGTGTGCAACATTGAAAAATGGCAAAAATGGCCTAGCCAAAGCGCAAACCACTGCTTGCCAAAAAAGAACAAAACGGCTATTAGGCAACGCCAAAATTATTCTTCCCCTGGTCTGCACAAAATCTTTACAATGTGTTTTATCTTTTTTGCTGCCTACAGTTAACATAATACATTTTAAAAATAAGGATTTTAAAATAATATTTTGTATTTACTCAGGTTTTCTGTATGTTATTTTGTTGTTAATACCTTTTGTGTTCTGAAACATGAAAGAATGTGAACATGAAAAAAAGCAAAAATGGTAAAAAAAAAAAACCTCTAGAAGATTTTTTTTTTACTTCACACCATGTGAGCAATTTGTTGTGTTTTGCAGAGATGATTTGTACAGAGTGGAGCTGGACAACATGGCGGGGGAAGAGATGTTTTACAGCAAGGTATCACTATTATATAAATATTTCTATTTTTTTACTTAATTTGACACTCCTGTATAACTGCAAAGTGATTCTACATGTGCTTCACGTGTTTCAGAAAAGGACTTGGGAGTCCAACAAGAACGACATCCGAGTGTGTCGGATGAAGGGCAAACATGAGGTAAAACACTGAAAACACAAACCCAATCTGCTTTAGAAACCTTCTTCTTAGGCTGCCCCTGCTTTTGAGGCTTTACACAAATTTGATTTTGAGGTTACAGAAGCAGTAAATTAACCAATCAAGTTTATGGAGGCAAACATTACCGAAGCTGAAAGAAACTGAAAGCCATTTATTCTGCATGCAATGATTTCCTCTCTGTTTCATACAGCATCGATAGCCTTCAAAAAGACACAACCAGAACAAAGATGTGGGGCTTAAAAAAAGAAGTGAGTGAATGCAGCCGGCTAGCTGGCAAAATTCAATTCTGGTGTAACTTGTGGAAGAAGATTTATCAAACAGAGGAACTTGTGTCGAACAAACAGAAGAGCTAAGTGACGCAGCCTTCGGGGAGGATGCTGTAATTGAAAACAGGTGGGGAAAGGAGGCATAGGTGTGTTTGTGTGGGTGAGGAAAAATAAGAACGAGGGAGAGAAACAGATATGGAGGAGTGGGCAGCCTCTGGGCTGTGGAGCGCAGATCAAAAGATGAGACTGCAGGTGTGAAGAAAGGAAGAATTAAAGCTGTGATAAAACAGGAGCAAAGACAAGAGGACTGGCTTAAGGTGGAGAGACAGTATGGGTGCAAGGCAGACAACAGAAAAAAGACCTATAAGATAAAGGGAAAAATGTCCAGAACACGATTAGACATTAGAATACAGGAAAAAGACTAATGAAGTTATACACAGGCCTTTAACATCTTTTTATTTATTTTTTTATTTTCAGATACTACATATTTGAAATTTCATTACTCCTCAAAGTCAAAGTCACTTTTACCTTAAGTATAGACCTGTAACACTTTACCATACTAGAACTGAAGTTGTTAAAGAATACGCTAATATTTTAATATGGTTATTAAAGGTATAGTGGAGGATTTTTGCAAATTTCTGAAAAAACCCGCCTTCTCCACTTAAAAATAAATGCATATGCACAACGTTGTACCTGCTCCCCAGAGGGAACTGCTATTAAAATTTGCCATTTGCATCACTCATACAAGCTTACTTTCCAAAAGGAGATTTGCAATTTTTCCACTATGTCAGACTCACCACCGATAAGTGGAAATGGGGACGAGCATGTAGACGAGTTACGTAAACATATCACCAGAATGATGTCAATCATTCTGGTGATATGATTGACATTCAGAAAAAAAACATCCTCTACTATACCTTTAACTTTTAAATTAACATTAAAATGTGAAGACTAACTATTTTAATACCTTACCTGCAATTATGTGTAAGATCTGTTGAAACTTGCTGCAACACACCAAGATAAAAATGCTATAGAACATCGTGTTCATGCGAAAATGCTTGTCCAATTCAGAGTTTACTGTTAGATGAAAACATCTATTATTTGAATTTGGTCAATAATTGATATTCGGAACATCTGACTGAAATTTTACTTTAATTATAAGATCTATCTAATTTCCAGCTTTTTCACATAAATTATGGGGAAAACCAAACTTTACCAAGCCTGACAGTCAAATTTTCAAAAAGGGAGGTATTCTTTTTCTTCTGTACAGCCAAAAATAGTAACAGATATCTCCAGCGGTTATGGGTAGAGGCAGGGTAAACATTGTAGTCTTTTCTTATAGGACATCTTCGTAGCATACCTAAGAATTCTGCTGACCACTGTATCTTTTAGCAGCACACATTTACTACATCTGCCCAGTTCTTTCCTGAGGAAAATAGACCTATTAGCATCCAGATATTACCAAAAGGTATCAACGTTGTCACTGACAACTGGAATAAAAAGAATCTATATAACTATTTTTCATTGAGTTTGAGTAGCCGCTTCAAACTTACAAGCAACAATCATCAAACACCTTTTATTTTAAGGAATAAAACTCAGAAAAATGTGTAGCTAAGGGAACATGTGGCTCATTTGACATGGAAACTGCTAATGTATGCAGCTGGCTTCTGAACTCTCCAGCTGTCTTATAGAATACACGTTATATTCGCTTTAGCAAAAAGAGGTTTGTCCTGTCTGCTCTTTTTTGGTGTGAACCCGATAAATTTTGAGCATTCTGATTTACCGTAAAAGATAAACCGGTTTATTGGTTATCTTTAAGATTGACTGAAGATAATCTGTGTCTCAAAAAGGTTCTTAAAAGAAACACAACCTAGAAAAGTCTAAGGAGAAAAACTGAGACAGGAAGAGCTTTATGGAGAAGATATAGAAGAGACTTGTGGCGTTAAAATCTTGTTTGGTTTTTATCAAAGCATGTCATGGACATTTTAGTTGGATTACAACAATTTGAAGTTGCAAAAAATAGAAAACTAAATGATTACAGATTAAGCTCAGAGAAAAGGGGTGGAAAATAAAACAAGACAAGATACAGATAAATAGATCAAGACTAGTATTAGGTTAGTGTTAGTATAACACTATTAGCTGTTAGTGAGCTGTGGAGTCAGCTGCGTCGAACATCAGTAGGTCTGCACTTAATAAACTGTATTAAAGAGATATATTTCTCATCTTCCTAGAGAGGAACATTTCATCCGTTACTGATTTCTTGGGAATTGTCCAAGAGATCAACTAAAGAGAAAAAAAGTGTCAGGAAATCTTTGATTCCCTGACACTTTTAAACTTTCATCTACAGCCTTTGCTTTGAAGATAATAGAATAGTCAGAGCCCATTGTTCTGTAGAAACAGTGAGGTTCTGGGGTTTTTTTTCACCTTAGGGCTGTTATTACATTTCTTCCTCTGATTCTTGGCATTGGACAATCCTCCGTTTCATATTTGGCAGAACTTTTTCTTCCTTAATGTTCTCTTTCTCTTCTTTCCTGCAGGAAGAGTGTCGCAATTTCATCAAGGTCTTACTCAGCCAACACGACGGCCTGTTTGTATGTGGAACAAACGCCTTCAACCCTCTGTGTGCCAACTACACTGTTAGTATTCCTCTATCTGCATGTGAGAGAATTTCTTTATCTCCCAGTTGTGTTGTCTTTATGATTCTTCTTTTATTGCAGCGAGACACTCTAGAAATGGCAGGAGAGCCTGTCAGCGGGATGGCCCGCTGTCCGTATGATCCCCGACATGCTAATGTGGCGTTATTTGCAGGTAGGATGTTGACTTTGCACCCTGGAGGCAAAGACTCCCTTTTTTGTTTGCCACAGTTAGTTCTAGCTCCAGTCGCCAAAATGCACACACTACACACTTAGGTTTACCTTTACAAGTGATTTATAGCCAGACCTATTCCTGAATTGCTTGTTTAGTTTTAATCTCTCTGACCTTGTGCTATCTCTCCATCTCCATGTCCCCACTCTTCTCCCTAATCTCCTCCCATCGTGTCTCTTGCTCTCTCTCTCTCTCTCTCTGTCTTTCTTACCGTCTTGTTCAGATGGAAGCCTTTTTACGGGGACTGTGACTGATTTTCTGGCCATCGACGCGGTCATCTATCGTAGCCTCGGCGACAGCCCAGCTCTGCGCACAGTGAAGCACGATTCTAAATGGTTCAGAGGTACTTTTAGAAGCAGGGACATTGGAAGTGACCCCTCAGGGCCAAGACACTTTCAACAGACAATCAGCAAGCAAATAATTGAAACCACACTTGCTATCTTTTGTGCTAAAAGAAAATTGAACCAATTTAACTGGAAGTGTTACAGAGGTCTTTCTTTGAATCTTAACTGCCTCTCCTGTAGAGCTACAGGTGTAGCCTAAACAACTTTCTGTTCCCTCAGATGGAATAGTAGCATCAATAACACCTGTTAGGATTTATTGCTAATATGGAAAAAAACTTTAATTGAAGTCTGTGTATTTATTGTTAAAATTTAGAAGGTTTAAAGAAGCTTAGTACCATTAAGTACTTATGTTGAGGTCATGGGCAAAAAAGGTTTGCAGAGCTAAATGATAACCATGTTTCAACAGAACCAGACATCATTATCAGGCCTCCTTTTAATAGGTGTTTTATAAAAGAAATGCGATCAGACAGAGTGATATATTGAGGTTAGCCAGAGTCCCCATAGATTTCAAATCTCAGCTAGTCTCTGAATGAACAGGGCAGCCTGAAGGGAAAAAAACAGGCTCAGGCGAGTCAAAGCTGTGGAAGATGAATAAATGATCATTATAACATTCACCCTGTTGTCTATGAGGATTGATTAAACAGGATATGAATGTTTAATTAGTCAGTGTGGTGGACAGCAGTATTTCTTGTTTTGCTTTATAGTGTTGTCACTTTTTTTTCTTTTTTTTTCAGAGCCCTACTTTGTGAGTGCCATGGAGTGGGGGCCTCATATTTATTTTTTCTTCAGAGAGATGGCTATGGAGTTCCATCACCTAGAGAAGGTGCCGCTCTCCTTTACATTACTTCCTTTCCTTTAGTCGCTCTGTGAATGTTCTGTAATCAATAGTTGTCCAATAATGCAAAGCCCCTGCAAGCATTGTTGATTTGACTTGTTTAGATAATGTCCGACTGTCTGCCAACATGCTCATGCTGGCATAATGCAAGATGTCAACCACATGGTAATGCTTACATGTTTACTGATGTAAGCCAAGTAAGAATATTAAAACTACTTTAGTATTGCAAAATTAAGTTACTTGCTCCTAATAGCCTTACAGTAGGTCAAAGGGGATACATTTTTCCCAAAGCTTTGCAACATAACCTCAATCATTTTAGAAGTTGGTTCCCTGGGGTTTTGCTCTTTTTTGTTCTTTTCTTGCTTCTTTTGCTAGAAGACCAAGAGTTTTGTTGTTCAAGCTGAAGTTTTTTAAAAAGTGCAAAACTCTTCAATATAGAATCACTTCTTAGTATAACTATAAGGTTTTGGAAATACATCATGTAAAAACCAAGAGCTTAAGTATTTGTTTCTTCTCATATAAAGCTACGGTCACAAAAAAAAACTTTGTGTTTTTCTCCTTTAATTTTATAAACCATGATTTGCTGTAATGCCAGGCTAGTATTGGGATATTTATGCTCTACTTTGATGTGAAACATTCATAACTTAGCCAGTAATGCATTTTAAAGTGATGCCAATTAACTCTTTGCAAACAACGCTTACAGATGGTTTCCCTGCTTTGTAAACTTAACTCTTTACCATAAAAGTTAATGATGAGAGTTAAAGCCTGTTCCTACATGGTCATTAGTGTGGGTAGCAGTGTATAGTCCTGATCAAATTCCAGACATGATAAACACAAGAAACCAAAGGCTCTTCTTTGTCTTTTATGGACATGACTTTCATTAAATCTGGAGGCCTTCTGAATCTTCCTAAACAAGCATGGATGTATTTTAATTTATACTAGGTAAAAAAAAAATAAAAAATGTCAGAAATGTGATTATCAAAATTGCCATTTTATTATATTTAAAACTATGTGTGCTATTATGACGCATGGTAAACATTTTTTTTTATCAAGAATTAGTGAAGCGAGTTTTTCAATCAGCATTAAGCCAATCAAATTGGTGATTTACATTTTACATACCAAACATCTGTTGAAATGGTGAAAAACACTTAGACGACAGTGGCATTGGATGCAGATTTCCCTGCATTAGGAGAGTTGTTGGTTCAAGCCCCGGCTTCGACTTTTACTGACATCCTTGCTTCTGTCAGTGAGCCCCAGGGCAGCTGTGGCTACAATGTAGCTTGCCACCATCGGTGTCTGGTCGAATGGGTAAATAACGGAAAGTAGTTTAAAGCACTTTGGTGAAGTTTCCTAACTTGAAAATCTCCTCTATAAATACAGGTCATTTACCATACATTATTATTATTAGGTAAACGGCTGATGCTACAGTTGCTAGCAGAGTCAATGAAGGCAATAAATAACACCCATACAATACGTAAACTCTTGAAGTTTCCCCTCTCAATTGAAACACTGTTAAACTTGGTATGATGTAATTTCCAGAATTTAGCTCTACATCCAGATTAAATTTAAAGCAGCATATATACAGAGAGTGAAATAGCACTGTACAATGTGTGTTACAAAAATAAGAACCTAACACCAATCCCTGAGGGATGCCACACTAGTGACATGGATTTGCTGATAGAACAGTGTAGATTTTTAACATATTGCTAGCTATTTGCAGTCTTGCACTATTTTGAAACAGCTGAAATGAGCTATTACGATGATTTCATTAAAAACTACAAACTATTCCTTCAATATTTTCCTATCTACATTTTTATATTTCAGGTTATGGTATCCCGTGTGGCACGTGTGTGTAAATCAGATTTGGGTGGATCTCAGCGTGTCCTCGAGAAGCAGTGGACCACATTCCTAAAGGCACGCCTTAACTGCTCCATCCCAGGAGACTCCCATTTTTACTTCAACCTCCTACACGCCACAAGCAACATCATCCATATGCAGGGACGGGACGTCATTCTGGGTCTCTTTTCCACACCACCGAACAGGTAGCCAGTGATACACTATGTTTACAAAACCTTAACAGGGATTAATCATTTTCTCACCGTCGTTTTCTCTCTCCTCATCTCTGGCAGCATTCCAGGTTCTGCAGTTTGCGTGTTTGATATGCAGCAGCTCGCTCATGTGTTTGAGGGCCGATTTAAAGAGCAAAAATCCCCAGAGTCTATTTGGACACCTGTACCAGATGAGGCAGTGCCTAAACCGAGGTGATGTGAAGCAAAAAGTACTGCAGCATTCCCGTCCTGAGCATCTGTCTCATAGATACTCTCCTTACAGCTCTTCGATGAGCAACCGTCTATCCCATAAATCCTTAATTACTTTTTAGGAAGAAGTCACCTACGCAGACCTGAAAGTGAATTGTCTGTCCTGTTCTTTATTTTACTACAGGCCCGGTGGGTGTGCAGTGCAGGGATCCAGATTTAGCACATCAACAACATTGCCTGATGAGGTGCTGAACTTTGTAAAGACCCATCCACTTATGGACGAGACTGTGCCACTGCTGGGACATAGACCTTGGGTGGTTAAGACTATGGGAAGGTATGCATTATGATTTTACAGCATGAGGGGAAAAAATACAGCAAGAATTATGAATGTTGATATGGGTTTACTTTATTGATTTATCTATCTAGGTACCAGTTGACAGCCATGGTGGTAGACACAGAAGCCGGCCCTCACAAGAACCGGACTGTTTTGTTCCTGGGCTCCACTAGAGGGACTATCCTGAAGTTCCTAATGGTTTCTGGAGGAGAATCAGTCTCTCATAGCAGTGTTTTTTTGGAGGAGGTGGAGGGGTTTAATCCAGAGAAGTGAGTGGGAGTCAAAACATACTGCTTATCTCCAATACATTGTCCATCTTGGCATCATGTTCCACATAGTCCCACTGAATCTGCTTCCAGTGAGATTTTCACTCATGAACTCTCACATTTCCTCACAACCAGATTGGTTTAAGTACAGCTCAGTATAAAAGCCTCTTCAGCTAAAACCATGGTATTCATTACAGGTTACTTAAAACGTATAATTAGAACAAACCTGTGTAACATTTTTTTGAGCAACAGCGTCCAAGCTGAGAGTTACAGGATCCATTAGATGCATTAAATTGTATTGAGCTCTGCTGTTAGCAGCAAATGACATTCAAACAAAAGTTATCAATCATTAATGCAACAAACCAATAATCTAACCATACACCGGTGTCAAGTCAGCACTCCTGCTAATGTTATTTCTCGGATACATCTCACTTAGATCCTCAAGTATTAAGCGGTCAGGGAGTAAAACCAACCAGTTTTTTCACTTGGCCACTATTGAAAAAAAAACGATGATCTTCAAAAACAGGAACACTCTCACTTTAAAAAGAAAAGCTCATGATTTTTGAGTTTATGTTCAAAGGTAATATTAATTAAATGCGCTCTCTTCCTTTAACTAGAGAAGTCTTAAAGCATTCTCATTTTGTTTTAGTCCAAAGTGGAATCTCTAACCTTTAAGTAAAAAAATGTAAAATGCGATTTTACATTGTATTTTATGATTCTTTAAATTGTCAGCATGTTTGCATTTGGGACTTTGTTGCAGTGAATAGGATTCCTCTTACATTGGAATGAAGAGAGGAGTTGTATAGATATTGTCTTCCTAATATATAGAAATATATTTGATAGTCCATTTGCCTCCAAAATCCATTTCCTCAGCTTCCATTTTACGAAAGAGCTGTTCGACTTTACAACCAACAATACCCCCCAAAAGCCACTTAAATATAATATCTAATTAAAAAGAAAGTCAATTTAACAACCACTGAAATAATACTCACTTGAACCACTTCACCCTAACATTTATTATTGCTTTATTTTTGTGTCAGACAATTACTCACTGGTGTGCATTCATTTATAGATTATTTGGTCCCTGAGGCCGAAGCTAAAGCTAGTTAAAACTTGGGCAAGGCCAAATATTACTCAAATGATCATTCATATACGAAACCTAAAAATGTCATATTGTATAAAGCTAACACTATTTATAAAGCTTTAAACTCTGGTACTGTCTGCCTTCATTGGGTAGTTATTTGATCAAAGGTCAGCAAATCGAGGCTGGAGAAAGCACTTCACTTCTCCTGGTGTGAATTACATACTGAGAACATATTAGTAAAATGTTTCTCCTCAGAATAAATACCTAAAAGGAAAACAAGCTGTTATAGATAAAAAATATATATATATTGTAACCACTGCATAATTTTTTTTACACCACATTTCTTTTATCAAACAGCAGGCCTGAACAGAGAAGGCTAACATGTTGTGTTTTTAGCAAATGTTTCACAGAAGAGGACCACTGGTGGTGCACTCCCTCCAATGTCCCCTTCCATGTATTTTAGGTTCTCTTTAAAGACCCAACAGATGCAACAGACATTAAATATAATTTAAAAGTTTATAAAACAGCTTTCATATAACCAACTATAAAATTATGGTTTTTGAGATTTGAATGGTTTTGCCGCTCTTCAACAAGCTGTTAGTTTGGGCCCCTGCTTTGACATAAGCAAGATTCATACATAATGAGAATGTAATGACCACTGGACATAAAATAACTGCCTATGACCTTTAAAAATGAATTAAATATTTTTCTATATATGAAGTTTTTTTTCTCATTTTAAATTTTTTATGTTTTTAATTGAAAATTTAACTTTTAAGAATAAGTAAAAAGAAGGATTGAGAAATGTAATGTTCTATGTTGTTTTTCAGCCTCCTGTTATCAATTTTTACCTGGTATTTTTTAGTGCCTTCTCTATAAAAACATATAAAATTTTTCTTTGTTTTTTACTTTAAGATCTCTAGAGATATTTCCTTTATGTTTTCAGTGACACACAGTACTCTATGCACACCTCTTTGCTGCAGAACAAAAAGGCCTCATTCTAGCCTCTTTTATTTAATTGTTTCCTTTATACTTTTAGTCTTTTAAACTGTCTGTCCATATCTTACTGCATGAGTTTGAAAGAGTTTTGAATGGCTCATAAAAAAGAAACACAATCACGGAAGCACTTTGGAGATAAAAGCAAGGCATAAAAATATTGTCTGTTTAACAAAGCGTTTAACGTCTTTCCTCTTTTTGTTTTTTCCTCAGCAGCAAGCATAAGTTTAAAAGTCATAAACTGTTTTCTTATCGTGCAAAAGTGCAAAAAAGACTGATAGATAAAGAGTCAGCCATGTGATGCCCTATGACCTAATGAATGTACCGGGATATAGATAATTTATGTACTGCAAAAACTTTCTCTTATCTCACTTCTGATGTGATATATTGCTTTTAAGGCTTGAAATGTGAGGCAGAGAAATGTCCTCCTACCTCACATGTCCTGTCCTGAGTGTTCATGGTTCTTTCTCCAGGTGTGGTGAGGACTCCCCTCAGGCCCGTCAGCTCTTGTCCCTGACATTGGATCGTACCAGCCACACTCTCCTGCTGGCGTTCCCCTCCTGTCTGGTCAGACTGCCCACATCTCGCTGCCATTTGCATTCTCGCTGCATGAAGTAAGTATTATGGATCCAACCTTTTGTTCTCCCGTTGTCAGTTTGGTTTGAATGCAGCAGTGCAAAACGCCCAAGGCACTATCTGCTGACAAATTTGTTTTACTTTATATCTTTATTTAGATTTTTTGCTGTTCTTTCTCTAGTAGCCATCCCTATAAATCTTTTTTTATATATATAAATATATATATATATATATATATATATATATATATATATATATATCTGTTTTTGTTCAAGTCAGCAGATAAGGGAAACAA